TTTATACTGAAGTCTCACCCAGTGAGACTTCGTTGGAGAAAACTAATTTTTCCTTTCTTTTTGATGAAGAACCTCACTGAGGACTGTTTCAAGGTCTCTCACTCCACACATTGTCCAGCTGTGGGGATCTGTATTAGTTCTCAGAGACTGCAAAAGGAAGCTTCTCTAATGATGCTGGGGTGAGACACTGACCTAATGTATATTTGCTGCACTCAATGATGAGCTTCAAAAAGACATACTCACTGAAGTGCAGCATACACCACGGCACTTCAAGCCCTGTATCCAGCTCTCGCTTTCTCCTCTGACCTCCCACTACTCCCCTAACTTTCCCCAAGCATTCTTCCTTTTGCTTTCATATTATCTATATAGCTGTGTATAAAAGTTAGGATGTAATATGAGAGAAAACGGATGGTGTTTACCTTAATGTAATGATCTGCAGTTGTTCCATCCGTTTTCTTGGAAAGGACATAGTTTCATTCTTCTTTGGGGCTTACTATGTCTCCACTATACCCATAAAATACATTTTCTCATCCTTCCTGTCACTCAGTCATTGTGAGCAGTGCCATGATAAACACATTCAAGCAGGTCTGTGATGTGCCAACATATACTCTTTCAGGCATTTTTCCAGGAGTGTTACAGCCAGGGAATATGGCAACTCTAGTTTTAGCTTTCTTTGGAAATCTCTTTACTTACGTCAATAGCAGCTGAGCTGATTTTTATTGCCATCAGCAGTCTCTAAGGGTTTCCTGCACCCATATCCTCCTTATCATTTGTTGTTATTTGTTTTCTTATTTTTAAAGGTTTATTTACTTATTATGTATGCATGTATGCCTGCAAGCCAGAAGAGGGCACCCGATCTCATTATTATTACAGATTTATAGATGATTATGAGCCACCATGTGTTGCTGGGAACTGAACTCAGGACCTTTGGAAGAGCAGTCAGTGCTCTTAACCACTGAGCCATCTCTCCGGCCCTGCTATTTGTTTTCTTAATGATGGCCTTTCCACCGGCAGGGGATGGCATCTTCATGTAGTTTGAAATTGCATTTGCCTGATGGCTAAGAATGGTGGACAAGTTTTCATCTAGCATTTGTGCTTCATCTTTTGACAGTTGTCTATTCGTCAGCCTGTTTCTTTTTAGGGGGGGTTGGTATTTGCCTTTTTTAGTTCTTTGTAAAATCTGGGTCCTAATCTACTAGGTGTATGGTTGGCAGACTCTTCCTGTTCTGAGCCTGTCTCTTCAGCTCTGCTGGCTGTGGTCATTACTGCATAGAAATGGCTTTTGTTTGTTTTCAGTTTCATGCAATCCCCATTGGTCAGTTCTTTCAATCCTTCCCTGTGACATTGGAATCCTTCTCGGGCAATCCTTGTGTATGTCCATATCTTGAGGCACTTTGCCTTGCCTTTCCTCTAGCAGTGTTAGTCTCCTATCTTAAAAATAAAATCTTTAATTCATTTTGAGTTGATTTTTATGTGGCACGAGAGAGAGGCACCTGGTTCCATTCTTCTACCAAGTGGGTATCTGGTTTTCCTAGCACTGTTGAAGAGGTTGCCTCTTCTTCAGCGTATGTTTTTGGTTCCTTTGTTGACAATCTGGTGAGTGTATGTTTGGAGTATTGATTCTGCTCCTTTAGTTTGCATACCTGCTTTTGTGCCAGTACCATGCTATTTTTGTTACTGTGACTCTCTAGTATAATTTGAAATCAGACATTATGATGCATCTTGCCTTGCTCTTTTTGCTCAATTGCTTATTTACTATCTGGGGCCTTTAGTACTTCCTCGTGAATTTTAGTTTTTTTTCTCCCCCCTCTCCCCGCCCCGTTGTTCTGTGAAGAACGTCTTTGGAATTCTGATGGGGATTCCTACTCTGCTGACACATGAATATAGAAGTCTTTCAATCCTCTAATATTTTATTCCATTTTTCTCTACTGTTTTAAAGTTTTCATTGTACAACTTTTTGCCTCCATGGTTACATTTATTCCTATCTATTTTTAAAGATGCTATGGATGGATTGTTTTCCTGATTTTCTTTCTTTCCTTTGGCATTTAGCAAGGTGCCGATGCCGTATGCTGTCTCTGTATCCTATTACATCTCTGGACTGCTTATCAGCTCTTAGAGTTTTGGGGTGGAGTATTAAAGCCTCTTGTTTATAGGCTCATCTCATCCACAAATAGGGATAAGATGACTCCTTTTACTATTTGCATTTCTTTTTTTAGCCTATTGCATTGACAATATATTATTTTTGTCTATTTCTTCAAGTGCTCTAATAAGTATGAGTGGAGAAAGTGGATGCCCTGGTCTTGTCCAGGGTTACGGGGATTGGTCTCAGTTTTTCCCTAGTCAGCGAAATGTGACTATGTTTGCTGCATATAGCCTTTGCTATGTTGAAATGCATTCCTTTTGTTCTCAGTTTTTTAGGGGGCTTTTATCATGAAGATATGTTGAACTTGTCAAAGGCTTTTTTTTTTATTCCTGCATCTTTGAGACAGCTGTGTGATTTCTGTACTTAAGTCTTACATTTATTGGCTTGTGTACGCTGAACCATCCTTGCATTCTTGGAATAAAGACGAGTTGACCATTATAAGTTATCATTGTTATATGTCGACGAATTGAGTTTCTAAATATTTTATTGAGAATTTACTCATCCACATTTTTCAGGGAGATTGATCTATAGTTCTACACACCATGCCCTCCACAACTCCGTATCTGGTTTTGGCATCAATGATAGACTGGATTTGTAAAATGAATTCAGTACTTTCCTTTCTATTTCTATTTTATTCCATTTCTAATTTGGGACACACTGGTGCTGATGCTTCTGTAAGGATAAAGGTAGAAAGAAAGCATTCAGGCCCATGCTGCTCTCCAACTGGGAGACGTTTTATTACAGTTTTACTCTTTTTGACTGTTAAAGGTCCGCCTTATATTATTTATATTCTCTTGATTTAGTAGATCCAATGTGTCTAGAAATGTACCTGTTTTGTAGGTACAATTTATTGCCAATCTACCATTTTCACAATATTGATACTGCTGACCAATGAGAGGTGTGATCTTTTCATATTTTAGTATGCAAAGTATTTTAAAGTTTTCACAGTGTGTCCAATTAGCCTCTGAATTTCATCGGTAATGTTTCCTTTTTCATCTCTAATTTTATTAATTTGGGTTCTTTCCTTCTTTCTCTTTGTGTCTTCCATTCCCTTTTCTTTCCTCTCCCTGTCTCTAGCTAGCTGGTCATCTCCATGTCACCCATTCTTTGTATGTTTTTTTTTAAATTTCTATTTTCTTAACTTCTGTCCTTATCTTTATCATGTTTTCATTTATTAATTTGAGTTGGGTGTGCTCTGTTTTTCTAATATGTGTGGGTATATCATCAAGTTATTTATAGTCTCTGTTTTTTGTGTAGGCAATTTTAGACATAAATTTCCTTCTTGTTATTTTATTTGTATTCCACAGATAGAGGTACATTGTGTTCTTATTTGATTCTAGGCATTTGTCATTTTCACCCTGGTTTCTTCAATGACCCATTGACCATTTGATATGATATTGGTCGATTTTCATATCCATTTATTTTCTGTGTTTCTTATACTATTGAGCTTTAATTTTTGTTGTTGTTGTTTTTGCACTGTGATAATATGGTATATAAGAAGTCATTTACGTTTTTCTTGCACATGTTAAGCCTTGTTTCTGACCTAACGCATGTTCTATGCTACAGAATATTTTATTGGCTGCTGTATATCCTATGGCTAGCAGTGGGATATTTTGTAGATGCCTATTAAATCCCTGTTATCTACAATGTCATTTAGCTCTGATGTTTCTTCACAGTTCATTGTGTAGATATCTGTTAGTGAAAATAGTATTAAATTGTCCACTAACATTGTGTGAGGCTTATGCGTGCCTGTATATTAGGTAGTTCTTGTTTTATTAAACTGGGTGTGTTGATGCTCACTGCATATGTTTTAAATAAGCTTCCTGTCACATCTCTCTCTTTGATATTACCTTGCAAACACATGCCGTCATGACCTTAGGGAAGTGAAGTCATTGTGTCACTCAAAAACAACAGAAAGGTTTTTCTATTCACTGAGGCCAAACTGCTAATCTTGGTACTGTTAACCCAGTCAAATCTACTTCTACTCTGTCTCTGTCTTCAACAAACACTTTCCTATTAAAATTCTTACCTTCTAACTAAAGGGATGACTATAGTATCCTAGAGATGGCTCTTATTTATTGCTACTACTGCTATGTCTACATTTGATTTTCATTTTTTTTTTTAAAAAAATTATTTATTTTTATTTTATTTTATTAGTTCAAATTAGGAACAAGCTTGCTTCACATGTCAGCCTCTTCTCCCTCTCCCTCCCCTCCCCCCCAATATCCCACCTGCCCCTAGCCATCCCCGCTCCACTCCCCAGGCAGGGTAAGGCCCTCAAAAGGGGCTTCCCAAAGTCTACCACATCATCCTGGGCCTGGCCTAGGCCCTTCCTTATCCAGGCCAAGAGAGCATCCCTTCACATGGGATGGGCTCCACAGCTTTTCCAGGTTCTGCAGTCAATTGAACAAAATTGTAGAGGCATCCAGCACTCTCCATTAAAAAAAAAAGTAAAAAACAAAATCCCAGAAAAACAGCACAGTTCTGTTGCTCTTGTGGTACCTGGCACCAAGCGCCACCACCTCCCAGTTTGATTTTCATTTTTAATATAAAGTATTCTGTACCTACCACTTTGGCATTGATCACAGAGGAAGCCAGTCCTGGAAGCCCCACTCTTATCTCTCCATTTAGAATTAACTGGTCTCCTGAGTAAGTTCCTGGAGAATTATGCCCAATAGAAGCTGCTGTGTGTTGTAAATATTTGTATTTAGTATGTTTTCTTATACACTCAGTTATAATCCCTTCAAAGATAGTTCCTATGTTATTGTTTTGAGTTTACTTGGTAGAAACATTGGAAAGGCATCAGATCATGTACTCTCCAAGAGCTTCACATGTGCTCACCAAGAGCTCTGCCCTCCACAGAAAAGGGATGATGTCAGCCTGGTCCTGCCTTGAGCTGTGGAAAACCTCTCACTCAACTCTGTTCCAAATGACATTGGCCACCGTTCTGATGGCTCCTGTTCTTGGTAAGTAATGGGGGAGGCAATCCAAATGTCACCACATCATGAATTCATCACATATCTGCCTCAAGCAATGTCTAGTGGATATCCATATTTTACATCATAGGGTGTATTAGATATCCTGGTATTTAGGAAAATTTGCTGCACTCCTGACTAAAGATAGTTTCATAGGTGCTTCTGATATTTGTTTAGATCTACAAATAATCTAAATTCAAAGCAACTATGACCAAGAATAAATATATGTTATCTGCCAATCTGACCATGAAAATATCTATCCCATTGTTTAAGTGATTATTAATGTAGAATAGATAGAGATAATTCCACTGGGTCATGTGAAAGTATTTAGCATTTTATTTAATAATTCTTACTTGGGGAGTAGGATTAAGAATTTTTCCCTCAGGGCCAGAGAGATGGCTCAGAAGTCAAGAGCAACTAACTGGTCCTGAGTTCAATTCCTAGCAATCACATGGTGGCTCACAATACAGACAGAACACCATATACATAATAAATGCACTTATATAAAAAAGAATTTTTTCCTCAAAGGGTTTAATGCTGTCTCCACATTGTGATGATTTATAAAAGCATTTTAAAGCAAACAATTCCTACAAATTCCAAAAGCTCCAAGAAAACATAAACACTTCCTCCCACCCCTGTTTTCTGAGACAGCTGTTCTTGCATAACGAAATATGTTTTTACAAAGTCAGGAAGAAATATTATTTGGCATGACATAGATGACTGTGCTTTGAGTAGGCAGATATGGGCAATGAGAAAATAATGAAGGTGATCTATTTTACTGAGTAGGAAAGAGTAGGTGACATTTCTATGCCTTCAATAACATCATCATTACTATTGTCAGAAAGCACGTCATTGATCATCTATTGTGGTCAGAAAGCATGTCATTGATCATCTATTGTGGTCACTGAGATTTGGGGTAGTGAGTGGCATGGTGAAAAAGGAGGACTGACCTTTCTTTGTAAACATTACTACTCAAACACTGAGGTTCTCTCAAGATACAGCTTGTGGTGTTCCTTGTAATTTGGTGTCCAGGTGATTGTGGCCCTCCTCCCAGCTTGCCGTTTGCTTCTCCAATCAACCAGTTGTTTGAGACAACCTTCTCTTCCGGAACTGTTCTGAAATATACCTGCCATCATGGCTTCAAGAAAGTCAATTCGAGCCATCTTACTTGTGATGAAAATGGTTCGTGGGTCTATAATGTCTTTTGTGCCAGTGAGTATCAACCTGTATTTTCACCTGTACTTTCCTCTTCTCAGAAACTGCTCATAGATATGTAATGAGTTCCTCAAGTCTAAAGAGAACATTTGAACAGAATGGTATTGGAAGTTAAAATTACCTGGGGCTGGAGAGATGGCACAACTGTTGAAAGGGCCAGGGTTGGATCCTAGCACACTTGTAACAAAGCCTGGTGTCCAGTTGATGCCTGTAACTCTAGATCCTAGGACTCTGGTGTCTCCTTTTAGCCTCCACATGCATTGTGTGCACCATGCACACACAACTCGCCCCCGCTCTCTCTCTCGCTCTCTCACTCTCTCTCTCTCTCACACACACACACACACACACACACACACACACACACACTGACTGAAATGATTGAAATACTTTTAAAGATTAACATTAACTATGCTGCTTGGAAAAAGGAAGTTGGGAGTGTACCATATCCTGTTTTTAAAACACTAATGATTTAAAAATCTATTTTCTATTTTCTTCTGTCTGTGAACAAGGCTAAACATTTAAAGTATGTATTCAGGTATAAGCCCACCAATGTGTTATATTCTATATAACACATTGGTGGCTTACTTAATCAAATGAAACTGAGTATAGTTTTTTTTTTCTCTTTTTGAAGTGTTTCCTAAAAGTTGGCAGAATATTTATTTTTATTTTTCCTCAAAATAACAATTCAATGAGTCAGGAAAAGAAATCAGCACTGAAAAAAATAAATTAAAAAAAGAAATCAGCATTGGAATATACCATCAGCACTATCTGTAAACAGGAGTTTAAATGATTTAAGTGGCCGTTTACATTTATTTTATTCATTAAATTTTGTACATGGATACACTATATCTTGGTCACATCCACCTCAGTCCCTCCCTAGAGCTCCCTTTCCCCTCCAACAGCTTTCTCTCTCAGCGTCATGGCATTTTTTCCTTTTGTATAACCCACAGAGTCCAGTTGTCTGTATGTGCATGTTTGTTAGCTGTGGACTGGCGGATGAGAACTTACCAATGGCTACCACCCAAAGGAAAAGGATTCTCCCTTCCTCAGTAGCCATCAACAGCCTCAGGCAGGGCAGAGTATAGAGAGCCCCTGCCCAACTCCATACTGGAATTTTTTAATTGGCTCAGTCTTGTGCAAGTAGCCACCGTTGCTATGAGGTCTTGGGTGCAACAGCTGGTCACACCCAGAAGATGGCACTTCCCAGCCCTCTTCCCTGTCCTCCAGCTCTTACATGCTTTTTGCCCATTCTTTCCCTAATGTCTCTAAACCCTAAGGAGTGGAGTTGTGGGTTGCTATAAATGACCCATGTGTCACCAGGCACTCACATTGACTTACTTACTATCAGCACTTTCAACTGTCGTGAGTCTCTGTACTAACCACTACCCTCTGCAACCTGAAGCTTCTATGATCAAGGCTGAGGGTAGCCCAGATTTATGGGTATAAACATAAACATTTAGAAAGCCATTTGACAACATGATCATTTCACCAAGGAACATTAGTAGGTTCTATCTTAGGGCCTATAACCACCCCCCCCCATCCCCAGCCATGGACTTTGATCAAGTTTACAGCACCAGGAATGAATTTTCTTCTGGGGAGCAGGCCTCACTCAGATCCACTTTATCTAGGTTATGCCATAACAGTCACACTATTATTGTACCAGTGGTCAAATCTTGCCTACCTCAAGGCCAGTACTGCAGCATGCAGGGTCCAGTGCTGGGTAAGACCATCAATGTCTTTTCTCTCCCAGTAGCCTGTATAGCACATTCTAGCATCATGAAAGCTAGTCAGCAGGGAGGAAGTTTCCTGGTTTTTTGTTTTCTTCTTTTTGACATTGATTTCTTTTATTTTCTCTAGCCAATGTGTGTGGTATCTTCAACAGTAGGTTCCTACCTACTATGGTTATAGTGGGAAACCAAGAACAGTGACAATAACCTATATTGTTTTGGGTACCTCTGGGGAGTTTCTGACCAATAACTCACAGGAAGGTTCACTGAGCCTGGCATTGAGATGTTCACTTAGTAACCCTTGTGTTCCAGGAGCAACATTCTCTACCCACTTGGGGGAATTCTGTTTAAGCTCCTTTTAAAATTATGTTCATTTTATAAACTAGTGGGGTTTTGTAAGGCTTCTCCACACATCCTTAGTTATATAGTTAAACCACTTCTTATCATCCTTTCCCCCACCCACTTGCTGCCATCCTCACTTAAACCTTTAGCTCCCAGCATGCCTGTCCTTGACATTTTACTCGGGGTTGCAATATCATAGTTTACCATAGAACTTCTCCATGTACACTTCATCTTGGTTAACCACCCCCTTACTTTCTCATTCCTGTCACTCCCTAGCTACTTGAACCTTTCTGACCCTGTCACTCCTTTCTTTTATTACCTATATTCTACTGTCATTCTCCCTAAGTGCCTCCCCCAGTGGCTCGTTTCTAGTTTCCTGGCTTCCACATGTCCTTAGACTAAACACACAGAGAAGATTTGAAGCTAACATACACATTTGAGAGAAGACATGCGTTGTTTGTTTGGGGCAGTCCTGGGCGACTTCACTCAGTATAATTTTCCCCAGTTCCATTCTTTTAACTGCAAGTTTCATGACTTCATTTTTCTCTACAGCCGAGTAATATTCCTTGGTGTATATGGACCACACTTTCATTATCCTTTAGCAGTTGATGGACATCTAGGTTGATTGTTTCCTTGCTATTGTGAACAGAGTGACAATGAGTGTGGTTGTGTGGGTATTGCTGCAGTAAGATAGAAAATGCTTTGGGTGTACATCTAGGAGTGGTATAGCTAAGTCATTTCATCATCCTGTTTCTAGTTCTATGACAAAATTCAACACTGAATTCCCAAATGAAGTACTCCCTTTCCTTAGGTTTTATACCTTGTGATTGTTTCAAACCACTAACCATCAGCTTAATTTTCCTCCAGAGAAACGATGCAGAAACCCTGGCGAATTGGTCAACGGGAAAGTAGAAATTATGACGGATCTCTTTTTAGGTTCAACCATAGAATTCAGCTGCGCAAAGGGGTAAGTGAGAATGAGGCAAGTTGGAAGCGATACTTTTCTTTTAAATAATTTTATAAGGAGTCAACACATTCATGTTTTAAGAATTAAACTCTGTAAGTGTAGGCATCTAGAAAGTTCTTGCTTCTACACAGTCCCATTTATCCTTTCTTCTCTGTCTTCTGACAGGAAATGGCATTGGCTAGTTTATGATTGTCTTTTTGGCACTTATTATATAAGCACAATCGAGGACAAATATTTTCACCAGTATCTAACCCCCTTTTATGCACTGTTACTTGACTTTACATGCTGTTTTGAAGTTTGATTTTTTTCTCCTCTTAACTTCATTGTTTTGTGCTGAATGTGGCTTGAGTTACCCAAGTCCATATCTTCATTTGCAAGGTATCTGGAGATGAGTCCTTTTGGATGTAGGCCACCTGCCCACCAAAAGAATATGTACATGAGAACTTGTTTTCTCTACATCCTTCTGCAGCCTGGGAAGCTGCCAAAACTCAACCATTGCAACACCCTAGCCCCGAAGCTTCCAGCCTCCAATGAGTGGGAATGAAATATTTGTTAGTCATAGAGCATATCCTGAAGGTAAAACCATGCCCAAGTTTCTTGATCCCCCTTTTCCTGCTGTTTGCTCATTCTGCATGTGTGTTTCGTATTTACTTATTGTGTACTGCATTCGTTTTCCATTGCAGTGACAGAATACCTGTGATTAACAATTTAAAAGGAGGAAAGATCTATTTTGGCCACGACTTTAGCGGCTTCAGTTTATAGTCTTTAGGCGCCATTATCTCAGTGTGCTAACTGTGTGGAGCAAAACTGTTCATCCCCATGGTGTCTTGGAAGCAAAAAGAATGAGAAGGGCCTGGCACCATGGACCTACATACTCCCACTAGATTCTAAATTTCCTCTCTTCTAGTAGATGTACCTGCTTGCGACCACACCTTCGATACCCGAGCCTTTGGGGGCTATTCCATAACAATACTACAGCAGATAGAGATTTTCATTTTGTATCAGATCTTATCACAATTTATTCAATCCTCCCTGAAAGCAGACATCTGTGCATTTCTAATCTCATTACATACTATTCTCAAATTCACTATTCTCTAGATATGGTGTGACATATGAATATAGATATTTCTAAAGGTTTCAGCTCTAGGGATGGGATGGTTGTTCTACACCAGTGGTTCTCAACCCATGGGTTAGGATCCTTTTGGGGGTTGAATGACCCTTTCAGAGGGATTGTCTAAGGCCACCAGAAAGCACAGATATTTGCACTGATTTATAAAAGTAGTAAAATTACAGTTATGAAATAGCAAAGAAAATAATTTAATGGTTGGGGCTACCACAGCTTGAGGAACTGTATTAAAGGTTGCAGCTTTAGAAAGGTTGAGAACCCTGAACTGGAATCCAGATGCAGAGAAGGATGAGTGAAGAGCAAAGGGGTCAGACCAGGCTGGTGGAACCCACAGAAACAGCTGACCTGAACATCAGGGGACTCTTGCTCCCCAGACTGATAGCTGGAATACCAGCATGGGACTGATCCAAACCCCAGGAACATGGCTTTCAGTGAGGAAACCTCGGAAAACTATGGGACCTCCTGTAGTAGTTCAGTACTTATCCCTAGCATAGGTGTGGACTTTGGGAGCCCATTCCACATAGAGGAATACTCCCTGAGCCAAGACCTAGGCTCTATCCCAAAGGATATGATAGAGTCTGATGACACCCTATGGAAGGCCTCACCATCCAGGGGAAGCAGAAAGGATATGTGATAGGTAGGGTTTTAGTTGCAAAAAAGGTTGAGAACTACTGTATCTACATAAAAGACACACTGACATTTTGATAAAGTCTGACAAGTTGCTCTTCAGACACTGTTAAAATTCTTATAATGCAAACGAATGTCTGTTTCTCAGATAAACTTCCAATCCATCTCTCTCTCCCATTTTCCAATGGGATTAGTTGATGTTTTCCCTTTATCCTTAGATTTCTTTGCCTACTCTAGATTCCAGTCCTTCACTGAATATGTGAAATGTGAAGTTTCCTTCCAGACTGCAGTTTCCTTTTTCATCCTCTTCACAAGATCTTTTACAAAGAAAAGAATTTTAATTTGGGTGAGATCCAGTTCAGCAGTGTTTCTTGCATGAAACATTGTTTTGGTGTCAATTATGAATTCTTCACTCAGACCTGCCTTCCCCAGTAGGGCCTAAGGCACAGCTGCCTGTCTCTTGAGCCATACTGGGGACCTTGCACAGGAAACCAGGAGTACTTTCAGCACATGAAGACAAAAATGTACCATATAACTCAGGGGGCTGCCACTCCCACCCAGGGCTGGAAACAGAGCTCTGGCCCACCATCTTCTGGGTCCAAAGGTACACTTGTGGTTCTCCATATGTGTTTCTAGTTTTTCCTAAACATTCTATAGGTTTAGATTTTACATTTAACTCTATGATGATAATTTTTGGTGGAAGTTGGTGTTATGGAGTTATCCTCCTCAAAATTAATGGATTTCATTATGATATTCTCATTGTTATTCCTTTGTTTAAAAAGAAGAGAAATGCTGAGACATGAGACATAAGACATGTTTATAAGGCCCAGCAGAATGGGGAGACTAAGAGAAGAGGAACAGGGTAATGGCTGACCGCCATGGCCGGTCGCCATAGAGAGACAGAGCGACAGCACAGGTGTGAGACAGAGTAGAGAGAAAGCAGAGCGGGGAAACAGAGAGGAAACAGAGAGCGTAAATGGGCAGGGACTTGTCTTTTAAAGGGGTCCTCTGCACCTTCGTGCAGACTTAGTTCCCATGGAACCTTGGGCTGACCAGGGTACTGCCTGTTCCACCAGGTAACAGGGGCAGGCCAGCATAATGCCTGAACCTTTGATGTATATTTGTATCTACACATTTTTCTAATATGTTGGCAGGACCAATATGGTAGAAGGAAAGAATTCCTGCAAGTTGTCCTCTTAGCTCAAGGTATACATGCGTGACCCCCTGAATAAATAAATAAAAAAAATAAAAAAAATGTTTTCTAAAAGTCAACATTTATTCTAATAGCATAAGATAAAAATTTAAGATAATATCTTAGCTTTCAGACATATCTGGTTCTACTTAGAGGCTTTCTATTCAACAATTATAGTGTGTTTGTATATTCACACAATAAGTTCCTTGCTTTTAAGTTTTATTTTATATTTTTGTAACTCTTATTTTTCATGCTCATTTCCTCCTACTTTTCTTCATACCATTCTTTCTACTATCAATTACATACATACATACATACATACATACATACATACATATATATATATATATGCTTAAGTCTTGATTCAGAACATAAGAGAAAACATGGGATATTTGTATTTCTGAGGCTAGCTTATATTGCTTAACATGATGCTCTTCATTTCAATCTTATTTCCTGAAAATGAGATAATTCCAAATATAGGACTGAATTGTTTGTACACACACACACACACACACGCACGCACGCACGCACGCACGCACGCACGCACGCACAAACACTTCCTCACTAGCATTTGTTGTTGGTTTGCTTGATAATAGTCATTCTGACTGGGATGGCGTGGAATCTTAGTGTAGTTTTAATTGGTGTTTCTCTGATGGCTAAGGATACAGAACATGCTTTCTAACAGCTATTTTTTATTTGTATTTCATCCATTGAAGACTAATTATTTTGCCCATTTGTGGATATGAATCCCCGATTAGATGTACAATTGCCTGAGATTCTCTCTCATCCTATCTCTTCATCTGACTGTACTGTAATGCCATTACTATACAGACACTCTTTAACATCATACAATCCCACTGGCCAATTTGTGAGATTGTTTTATAAGTCATTAGAGTAATTTTGTAGAAAGTCTTTGTCTATTCTTATATCTTGAAGGATGTTTTACCTGTTTGCCCTAGCAATTCAAGGGTTCCAGGTCTTCCATTTTTTGAATTTCATACCAAGTGAGTAGCATCTAGTTTTATTATTCTGAAAATGGAGACACAATTTCTCCAGTACCATTTGTTGAAGAGCCTGTCTTTTCTTCAATGTACGTTTTTTTTTTTTCCTTCCACCTCTGACAAACACCAAGCAGCTGAAGCTATGTAGATTTATATGTACACTACTTTATTCTTCTTTTGTTACCATGCCTCTGAGATCAGGCATTGTGACACCCCTAGCATTACTCTTTCTGCTAAGGATGGCTTTGACTACTTGGCCTTTTGTGTTTCTATATGAATTTTAGTATTTGTCTATTTCTGTGATGAATAGTGGTTTTGATGGGAATCACATTCTCCTTTGTCTTAGTTACTGTTGTATTGCTGTGATAAGACACCATGACCAAGGCAACTTAAGAAGAAAGAGTTTATTGAGGGCTTACAGCTTGAAGGATGAGTCTATACCCACCATGTCAGGAAGTTTGAGAGCAGGCAGGCAGGCATGCTAATGGAACAGTGGCTGAAAATTACATCAAAGAGCTAGCTGAGAATGGTATTCCCTCAGTGACCACCTCCTCCAGCAAAGTCACACCGCCTAATCTTTTCCAAACAATTCCCCCAACTGGGGATCAATTATTCAAACATAGGAGACTATGGGTGCCATTCTCATCTAAACTACCACGTACTTGTAAATGATTATTTCATTTTAACAGGATTAATTCTGCCAACCCATGAAGATGGGAGGTATTTGTGTTGTTGCTTCATCCTCAATTTCTCTCTTCAAAATTCCTTCCCACTTGTCTTTTACTTCCTTGGGTAAGTTTATTCCTGGGACTAAAAAGAAAAAATAAGCTGTTGTGAATGGGATTCCTTTCCTGGAAAATTTATTATTTGTCCATAGGAAACCTCCTGATTTTTACAATTTGATTTTGTATTCTTCAGCTTCCTGAAAGTTCTGGTTATGCCTAAGAGTTCTCTAGTTAGAGTTGGGGGTGTCTTTTAAGTAGAAGATCATGTTATCTGCAAATAGCGATAGTTCTTTTTTGTTTGTTTGTTTGTTCAATTCCTTTTATTTCCCTGTCTTGAGTTGTTGCTGTAGCTAGGACTTTAAGCACCACACTGAACAACAATAGAGAGTGTATTCTTTTGTCTTGCATTTAATTTTAAAGACATACTTTTGGGTTTTCTCCCATCTAGAAAGCTGTTGGCTACAGATCTCTAATATATAGACTTTAGTCACTGAAATATGTTCTTTGTAATTTTAGCTTCTTTTGAGGCTTTTATTATGAAGGATGTCAAGAACATTTTTTGCATCCTTTGAGATAATTATATGATTTCTGTTCTTAGGTTCCCTTCTGTATTTAATCATATTTACTGATTTGTAAATGTTAAACCAACCTTTAAATTCCTGAAATGAAACCAATGTGGCTGTGATGTTGAATATTTAATGTGTTCTTTAATTTCATTTATAAATGTTTTATTGAGAAAAATTAAATCTATGTCCAACAAGGGACTTGGTCCCTAGATTCTTTTATTCTTATAAAGACTTTAATCTTCTCTGTTTAAGCCTCCATCCTCATAGTCATGATTACTTCTTTATACAGATTCACAAATAAAAATTGGCTGCACCATGTGACTATGACATGTGGGCAGACACATACATTTAGTTTATAATACTGTAATACAGAATTCTCTTTCCTTTAAATCTTCCTTTCATTCTCAAAATAAACCCATTTGGTCTAGTATGCTTCTCTTTCAGAGAATTTCTCCATTGTGATGAATAATATTTTATTCATAATATTTCACTGATATTCAGGGTAAATGGACATTCTTAATGTCTTAGAAGGAGTAGGAATTGCCAAGAGCAAACGTGATGTGCTAACAACTATAAATTAAATGGTTTTATAAGGGTATGACAAGTTTTACAACCAGAAAATTCAAATCAAATGTCAAAATAGTTGATATCAGTGATATGTCTTGATCACATATTACAAGGAAAGTACTTAACAAACACAATTGAACCATGCATCTATTATATACCATTTGATTTATAGCTTGTTCTTAAACAAATGTATGATGAACAAAGTATTAAGATTGTAGGTCCAGGCCACACAGAGACCATGAGCAGCCTGGCCTTCAGCTTGGACAAGGAGCCTGGGCACTACTGCTCCCATGAACAACTGTATAAGCACCTGGGACACCAGGAATGTGATCCCCCATGAAGGATGAAGGCTCATTGGGCAAGCTCATGGACCTGTCAGATGGACATGCACTTGATGGCCTGCAACAGCCTCTGATGGCTAGGCTCACACACAAAAAAATGAGGAACACCACATTTTTTTTTTTTTAGCAAGGTGGCAGAGTGAAGAGGACAAAGGCCTCTGGTCACAGCCCAGGCCATACTGACCAGATCACTGCCTGCAAAAGAGCTCCCCAAATCTACCTCTTCCAGGGCACTTGCTTTGTTCTGCCCTGCAGGGAGCCCAGTGATCAGGACACCTGGTGAGAACCAGGGTGCTCTTAAAGAAAACAAAAAGTTCTCTGTAAACACCCTGCCTCACAGCCACACCCCCTCACAGCCACACTGCCTCATAGACACACACACTCCACTTACACAATCACTAGAATTGTGTGGAGTCCCTTTGCAGTTACCAGATGATACAGGGTAAATTGGGGCTCCCTCTTGGGGATCTTAATCTCATTAATAAAAGAATTTAAGAATGGACTCAACCGGAAGCAAAAGGATGATTTTTATTAGAGTTTAGGGAAAAACACACCAGGGCAGCCAAGTTATAAATCTCAGCAAAACCCAGAGGAGAAGCGTGGAGGAGATGCTGTTTAAGTCTGTGTGGAAATCAGGAACATCACAGACAAACAGCCACTTGTTGAGTAGAGTAGCTTTAGATAAATAGTAAGGAAATCCAAAATATCAGGGAAGCCCAAAATGTTAATGAAGGCATGGTTAAAGCACAGATCGGAAGGATAGGAGAGCTACCCTTTGCTGAGTAATTCAGACATGTTGACAGGCTTACAAACCAGCAAGGCTGTGTTCTGTAAGTGGCTGTGCAAGTGGTGGGAATTGCGGGAAGGAAAAGCAGTGTCCCACTAAAGGACTAATCATTCTGCCCACGGCTTAGCATGCCATAAGATGAGCCCACCTTCCTAAAGGAGGTCCATTGACCAGGTGGTTGACCTGTCCTGTGGTTGGACTCTACCCAGAAGTTTTTGCTTTATGGGCCTCTGCTACCACTTTTGGGAAGTAACACTTTGTTATCCATAGCATGGATATGACACTTGAGATTTTCAAGTTCATGGAATGTGGAGACTTTGGGAGCCCATTACACTGCGTGGGAGAAGGGCTTCTGGGTTCATCCGGCAGAGAGTGTTTGTGAAACCTGGTTGACTGAACTTTAGGGTCTTGCAGTCATGGTGGGAAAAAGATTTTTTTTTTCCTAGCTACAATTATCTTTATGCTTTCACCAAGAAAGGATGATAATGATGGGTTTGTCATGTGGTTCCCTGACAGATCAATAATGTTTGCATGTGTTAGTTCCTGAGTTTCGTTTCCAGCACAACAATAAGTAAATAACAAAGAAAGGAGGGAAGGAAGAACAAAAGAGAAGTAATAAGATAGATATGGCGAGTTTTGAGTTTCTGATACAATGGCTTTGTGTGTGTGTGTGTGTGTGTGTGTGTGTGTGTGTGTGTGTGTGTCTGCTTCTGCATCTCACTGCAGTGTAATAAAACTGAAGGCATCAAGACCATGTACACATGCTTATCAAACTATGCTCTGAGGACAAAGTACATTCTAGTATGTGGGGAAATTTCAAATATTTGTTTTGAGAAAGGGAGTTACATCATTTTATGTTTCTAGTAAGTTGTATTTAGCTTAGAAACAATTATAGCCTCAAACTTGTATGAGCTCTTCCCATTGGTTGCATTATACAACACTTAGAAAACAATAAATTGCCATGAAGAGATGAAAGAAGTTTTAGTACGAGAGAATGAGCCCCTGCTCCATATGATGAAATTCAACTTCAAGATGACTCTAATGGTAATTAGTGGTCAATAGAACATCCATTGTTTTATTTTGAAATGATGAATAAAACTGTATTTGTTCAAAACCTTGAGTCCAGTTGCTGTTAGAGTAAACTAAGTAAGATTCCAGGTTAACCTTTGATCTGTCTTTTAGATACCTTCTGATTGGCTCAACAACTAGTCGGTGTGAGGTCCAAGGTAAAGGAGTTGACTGGAGTGATTCTCTCCCAGAATGTGTAAGTAAGTAAAGACTTTTTTCTGACATAATAATATGACATTCACACTGCATTACAGGACTACCTGCTCATGTCTCTGTCGCCTTCCAGACCCTCCATTTGCAACTGACAGAATTTTACATTTACAATAATACCCTTCCTGATGACTCCTTTCTCTCCCCTTACTCATCTCAGTTGTCACATGTGAGTCCCCTCCAGACATCAGCAATGGGAGGCACAGTGGCAGAGATGAAGATCTTTACACATACGGCTCCTCAGTCACCTACAGCTGTGACCCTAGCTTCACGCTCCTTGGCAATGCCTCCATTGTCTGCACTGTGGTGAACAAAACAGTAGGTGTTTGGAGTCCAAGCCCTCCTGCCTGTGAAAGTAAGTTCCAGGCATGAATTCTGCTTTCAATTGTTCTCATTTATTTATAAGAATAAGATGCATGCACTGGGGGTGGTGACAGCAGTTAAATACAAACTAATGATTGCAACAATGAAGCAATTCATTTTTTCAACGGTTATGCTGCAGTCATCAGAATGGTATAGACTATATGATCTTAATCTACATTACAATCATGTGTACTTTATGGAAAACGCTTTCTGCAAACTCTCTCTTACTGCATTGTTACCTCAGGAAACTTCTTACACAAGCTCACATTTACATGGTAGCCAGTCTTCTTTAGATGATCCTCATGCCTCAGTGGCAAAACTTGCACCGTCAAACACAACAGAAGACTGCAGAAGGAGAACAGACAGAAGCTGAGGCTGGAAATGTTTGGCAGTATTGGCAAGAGTCAGCTGAGGGAATGCCTGGTGTGTAACTGTTGTTCACCCCAGATGGGGTACCAAGGGACAGAAGAAAACGTGACTTCATCAACGTCTGAATTGGTGGAACCAGTTTGACCTTATTAGGCTTGCTTACAGAGTGATGACAGAACACTGGGAACAAGTCTTTTAGAGAGAGCCAGTGACTCGGTAACAGCCATATTGTTACAAAGTTCCACCCCATTCCGGATGGTGACCACATGGAAGCTGACGATGCAGTTCTGTTTTCAGTTCCTCATGGAAGCTAAATCATGCAGTGCTGTTTCCAATAAATCTTTCACATCCTATATACTCTATTGTATCTCCCAGATCACAGTAGCTGGAGTCTCCAGTGAAAGTCTTGTGACTTTCTCCTTGAGTATGTCAATAGCCCCAGCACTACTATCTCTGGATGGTCTGCTCTAGTTGTCATGGCTACCATGGGGTGCAAAGCCAAAAGCGTTATTGTGTTATGTCAGTAGAAACGGAATCTCTGTATAACACACAACCAGAAGGCACTGTCTCTAAAGTTTGAAGTCAGACAGAATATGGCTGACAGACACCTATCGCCATCACCTAAACGGGAAGGGGCTTCAGTTGTATCCCTGCAGTGGTATGGAGAGGAGTAAGGAGGAATAGGTGGCAGGAATGACAGGTCTGGTTGGGTGGGGACTGGGACATGGGGTGGTGTTTGTTCCATGCTGTGGGGGGCAGATCTCTGATGCTCTATCACTCTGGATCACCACGTCATCGCTATAGGTTGTTCCTCTCCAACCAAAACCGTTCTGGAAACTAGAGCACAATATTGGAAGGATTTGGAGACTTGGAGTTTAGGCTTCAATATTTAGATATTTCTAGGCTTGGATTTTTTTTTTTAATTGAGAAAGTCAATTCTATAACAATAACTAGCAGGACAGGCTCTCAGTTTTTTTTTCAAGGTGCCTAGAGAATATATAACTTTTAAATATTTTCCTTACACATATCTGACATAAACTTAAGTTATAAACTGAGTTACAATATTATAGACCAGAGCCATATTATCTCGGGCTATCTTTAGGCCTTTGAAGCTATCCATTGCCCACCCCGTGTCTGACCTAACATCCTTGTGACTACCAGAATCTTAGTATTCTTAGCAAACAACTAGCTCTCATAAATTCAAAATTTAAGAATTTCAACAGTTATTATCTAAGATCTATAGCAGAGTTTTCACACTGTAGCCCACCTACCTGTGGCCCCACCAGTATATTTGGTTAAGTACATTGATTTGTGACTTTTTTGGTTCTGTCAGTAATAAAAATCTTCTGTAACCACTTCCACAGTGGAGCATGGTATTTGGGGAGGCCTGAATCTGTGTTCCCAGGGCATGCTCACTCATACTGGGTTCCAGAGAGAAACTGTCTTTAATTCCTTTTAAGGTGTGAACTGGGTCCACCACTTTTCCTGGAACTGTAACAACCCCCCTCAACACCTCTTGACTGTCATTTCTCTTTTACAACATAGCTGTCTTTTCCTATGCTTCTCTAGAAACCGTCTGTCACCATCCATAGATTGCAAAGGGGGAGTTGATCCCTGGATTTACACAGTTCTATTCTTACAAACACTCTGTTGAGGTCAGATGCATGAAGGGTTATGTCCTCAGAGGCAGCAGCTTAATCCGCTGTGAAGCTAATAGAGAGTGGTACTCTTCTATCCCCACTTGTGTGCCCAGTGAGTATGGACTTTGAAGGAGCTGCAGTATTTTCATCTAAGGTTATCCAGGATAATATGGATGGGATATGTTTATAGGCACAAGCCCACTTTAAATTTTGTACACACACACACACACACACACACACACACACACACACACCACTGTGCACATGTGGTGGTCAGATAACAACTTCCTGGAGCTTGTTTGCTTCTAGCATGTGGGTCTAAGGAACAGAACTCAGGGTTTCAGGCTTAATAGCAAGCACCTTCATCCACTAAACCATCACAGGGACTCTCTAAATCCACTTTAACGCAATAATCACACAAGTTAAATTTCTTATTGTACTTTTTTTCTTCAACATTTTTGCTAAAAGGAAGACATTCTGGTTAGTAATCTTTGACTGCTTTTTAAACTATTTCACGTGTATTACAGAGTTTTCATGCCATGATCCTGTTGGTAATATGGATTACATAATTACTATAAAAATCTTCCTGTAGGACGTGCCAGCAAGATGACTCAATGAGTGAATGTGCTCACCACCAAACACAATGACCAGTGTTTGATCCCCTGAACCCACTATCGGGAAGGTGTTAATGAGAGGAACAGCTCTCATCTCAAAGGAATGCAGAGGACAGTTTATTCTAGGGCTGTCTATGAGTGACCATGGCCTGAAAACACAGGTTTAGGTCTCCTCAAATGCCATGTTCCAATGAACCAACAGTTCCCAAAGTTTTTGATAGAAATGAAAGGTCATAAATCATTTTGGTGGTTACATCTAGTAGTACAGTTCCAGCAAAGTGGGCAACCTTTGTTATCTGCCTCGGATGCTGTAGGATGACATTCTTAGCCCTTTAGTTGGTATGGAACTAGGGATCTGTTGAGTTGTGGAGTTGACACATGATTGCACTTCAGGTAAAGCTTTATTAAGAGAAAGGGACTTTGGGGGAGAGGGCATTAGAAAAGGACAGTATAATCAATTCAAAACAATGTAACATGACCTTAGAGGACAAAAAAATTTCCCATTAAAACTAGTGTGGGGCTTCTTTAAGAGGGATAGTGTAAAGTGAGAGAGAGAGTGAGAGAGAAATACAGAGACAAAGAGAGATAGACACGGAGATAGACAGATAATAGATAAATGATAGAGATAAATAATAGAGATAAATGATAGGCATAGGCAGATAGATGAGATAGATGATAGAGAGATGACAGATAGATAGACAGACAGACAGACAGACAGACAGACAGACAGACAGATGATAGCCGTAATGAGAGGGATGGCACAGCGAGGCAGATGCATTTTTATACATTCTAGGGGTCTTGTGGGAAGTTTTACACCATGTGATTTAGTCTGGGATCCTTTGTGTGACAAGGAGTATATAGAGCCAGGCACTGCTTAAGACCAAAAATTACAAGTTGTAAAATCATAGCACAACAAGGTCTCTGAGCTCTTCATCCTAAGGAGAGAGAGCTGCCACAGATGAGGGCGGAGCTGATTTCTCTGGCTGTGGAGTCAAACTTTTTAGAGTGACCAGCCTCTTACAGGAGCAGGCCATGAGATAACATTTCCAGACTTTGGTTTATATTTTAGAAAGAAGAATTAATTTATAGGTAAAGAAATCAGAGGAGGAGACAGAGAACAATAGACATCAAATCTGAGTCTCTGGCTTCCTCAAGCTAACTAGAAATAGAGAACTGGAGTGCAGCCTCATCCATTGAGTGACAGTCAGAGGTGGGCTCTGGGGCAGAGGTTGACATCTAGATTCATGCATCAGGAAGACAAATCCCTTTTAAGTCTGCAGTGTGTCAAACAGTAGTCTGGGTGAATGAGTCAGCAGGCAAACTACAGAGGAGGATACAAACATAAGGACCCTGGGTCTATGGGCCTATGAAGAGCTTTGGAATCCATTTTTGAGATAAATTTGATAAGATGAGGTGAGCTACATAGAAGAGTGAATGACAGAACAGACACTCTGAAGGTTATATTTTTGCTATCTTAAGGTAAGTTAGAGAAAACTGTTGAGAAGGCATCAAGAGGGTAAAGGTGGGCTTTAATCTAATTGGACTTGTTACAATGTGTCTTAAGTTAATTTTATTAAGTAGTTTTAGAGCCTCAGTCACAAGAATACTGTCACACACAGAGGAAGGTAATAGATTGATGACTATTTTTAAAAAGGCTAAACTACCTGTCCCAGAATAATTTTGGCTTTGGATCTGTAATGTTGTAACTCTTATAGATGTCTTATAGGCATTCTAACTGCACAGATATAGCTTGTTGGAGCTTTGGCACAGATGTGGCCTCTTATTGGTGCCATCACATTTTTTTTTGTGTGTGTGCATAGCACAATTATCTCACATCTTACATAGCTAGGAGCTGACCCTAGGCCTCATGAATGAGGCTGAGGAAGCAGGAAGGTCTTCAGGAAGAGAAATGATTACCCAAACCATTGAGGAAGAAATTCCTAGATCATATAAATCTACTAATCATTATGATCTGGTGTTTTATTTTTCTCTTCATTTCAAATAACATTTTATATGTGGAGTTTTAAAATTAGAAATAATCCAGAACTCAATATGTCCTAAAGAAGTAACCAATGAAGAAAACAGATATTTGGAATTATATATACAAGAGACCTGATATAATTGTTTGAACCAAGTAATACAGGAGGTTTGGCAAGCAGTTGTATATATGAATGACCCAGGGATGATTAATTCTGTAAATAAAACTTTCTGCTGTCCATAAGGCAAAGGCTATATACAGCATGTGTTTTACCCTATGAGAAGACATAAAAATTCTTCTAAATATTCTGAAGGCACAACTCAACACCTTTAAAAAAATCAACAACCTTTGTGTGGCATTTAGAGATAGCTCAGAAACAAAGTCCAGACAGCTTTCAATAGATAATCATTTTGACCAGTTCTCATCTTGATTGAACTGGACAGATCCTCTAAACTAGTGTTTGTTGGTTTCAATGATCATATCAAAATAACCTTTCGTTATCTAATGCACTTCATCTCTGCCTCTGTTTTTCCGCAGTGTGGACCCTCAACAGCTTTCTAACTCTGTCCTAGCCATCTGGATTAGTGTAATGTCTTACCACACTCCCTTTCTAACCATTTCTTTGTTCTTATATCCCACTAACATGTTTTCCTACTTCCTGGTTTTGCTTCATTTATTTTTTTAATTAAATATCATGAGATAATTAAAAATACAATTTACCAACCTAGTAAGAGAGAATCCTGCCCAAATTACATTTGTAACCATAGCTGTAAGACAACTGTTAAACTGTTTTGGATAACAAATTATCCTGTTACCAAGAAAGGCAGAAAATGTAATCTGTTTAACCCTTTAATTGCTGGTTTACTTTTAATACACTGAAAAGAACTTTTGTGAATAAAACTATTGTGTTTAAAGGGAAACCCAGGAAGTTGGTTCTGAAACACAAACATGTGCAGGTCATTACAATAAATTACTCTTGCAAAGCAAATCTGTGATAGTCATTTTAAATACCATCCTCATGGTTCCCTATGCCAGTTCCAATAACATATTTCTTCATAATTTTTTTTCATGGCCAGATGGTTGTATTGACTTGCCAGATATTCCCTATGCTTTCTGGGAGGGCAATAAGATACCCTTAAGGAATTTTGAAGTATTTGAAATTGGGACCAAGTTGAAATACCAGTGCAAACCTGGCTATCGACCAGCTTCCAATGAGCCCCAGATTGTGAGGTGCCAAGAGAATCTGACATGGTCGCCTTCCAAAGGCTGTGAAAGTAAGTGACCTTAAACTTGCTATTGATTGCACACGTCTTTTAAATTATCTATTGAATGTATTAAGCACAACCTTTGAAATTTCTTGGGGCCTGTTCCATAACATAGGATATGAATAGTTGCTATAAAAATTCAGTGCACATTTTGAAAACATGCATTAGTCTATGATTATTGTTGAAGTGTTTTATAGTTGTCAATTACCTCTAAATCTGTGATTGTGATGTTAGGATTTAACCCCCCCTCTCTATATATATACAGAAGTGTGTGTGTGTGTGTGTGTGTGTGTGTGTGTGTGTTGCAGCCTGGGAGGCCAGCTCCCAGGACTATACCCAAAGTAGCAAAAAGAATGCCTTCTCAAAGCAGTGAGTAACTTAGAAAATATTTCTTCTCTATAATGGTGGCCTTTTGGAGATCTTCATCCAAGGACACCTCCAGGGTATGCAACAAGGGCCAGATCTTTCTATCGAGGGGTAAATAATGAAACACTTTCTGATGGTAACCTAATAAAAAAAAAATGGAACAAGCACACGCTTTCCTGATGGCAACCTTCTCTTTTACCTCATCTTTAATAATCTCTCTTTCTTGACAATCTCTCTACACAGTTACATCTCTTTACACAGTTACCATCTCTTTTTACACACATGCATACTTCCCTTGCACAGCTATACATCTCTAGACAGTTACATCTCTTTTCACATAGTTACATCCCTCGTCCCAGCTACATCTGTCTTCTACACAGTTACATTCTCCACATGGCTACATACCACCACATTCTCCACACAGATACATCTCTTTCCACACAGTTACATTCTCTACACAGCCACATATATACTTCTTCCTTCATATACATCTCTCCTCTATATAGCTGCATCTTCTGTATCTCTTTGCCCACTCAGCTACAACACTCCACACTTCTCTCAAACTCTCATTGACGCCTGCTGTTGAATCTCTTCTGATTCTTTAGACATATGCTAGTTACCAAGCTCCTTTCTCCAATGGATACTCGAGTCTCCTTTAGTGAGGATCTACTGATGACAAGTGTCCTTTGTCTGTCTCCTGCTATGTATTCACCTTAATATTGGGGGATATGACCCATGGATATACAAATCTAGACAGACTTGTAGAGATGGCTTTCTTTGGTCATATAATAGATATTATTCCATCTTGCTTTATTTCTGTCATGAATTTTTACTATTGTTTACATTGATGATTATTTCAAAGGACTTTTCCTGACAGCCCACTACACACTTCCTTTCCTCTGTTTTTCAGCACTTTTCCTAGTTGTGTGTGTTGGGATCTGCACTGAACCCCTGGAACTGTACAAAGGTGGAAGGGGAAAATATGATTCCATTGGGTTCCAGGGGTTAATTTTAGATTACTGGGTTTGTGCATCAAGAGCCTTTATTCACTGAGCTTTCTCTCTTGAACCCAAGCATATTAATTTTAACCATAACCTTCTACCTCTTGCCCCCATAGATTCTTGATAACCTCAAAATACAAAATCCAGCTTTAAATTATAGAAAACCATAGCCACTCAAAAATGCAGGGTTGTTGACCCCAGTCCCAATGGACATATCTACAAAACATTTCCACACTTAAGCCTTAAGGAACACTGTCGAGAAGACAGGATGGAAATATTGTAAGAGTCAGAAGATCGGGGACTGTGCTATGAGATTGTGTTTCCTAAGAATGTCAGGAGCTACACCCATAAAGTCTCACCAACATGACTGCCTAAACATGAACTGAACAAGGAAAATACCAATGGACATGCCAAAAAGGATAGGGAAAAAAGTCCATGAGGCCTCAAACTACACAAACACATACAGGCAACTAGGGAATGCTGGGAGTGGAATAAACAGTCTTCTACAGGGAAGAGCATACCAATTGGTTATCCATTACCAAATAGTCAACCTTGAAAACACACACACACACACACACACACACACACACACACACACACGTTTGCTAGGTGCATGTAATTTGAAATTTGAAAGAGAGCAAGGAAGGGTATTTGGGAGGGTTTGGAGGGAAGGAAAGGGAAGGGAGAAATGATGTAATTATGATCTCAAAAATAAAAGAAGAAAAACCATCATCTTTAACAGTCTTAAAAAAAGTTTAAGTACTGAATGCAGGCAGTCTTTTAACTGTGAACCTCTGTACAATAAAATATAAGTTGCATGGTTCTAATATTCAATGGCACATAATAATAATTTCCATTTTAAATGGGAAGAACAGATGTGTAGAAAGGAATTATAAGATTAAAGTAAGACTGAAACCCAGTATTGAAAACTCTAAATCTTGCAGCTTTATGTCTGGCATCTGGGACACATGATGGAGTCATCTGGGCTCTAAGGGGCTTTGTCTTCATGGTTTCACACAAAGGCCTCTCATGAGTTCCTCGTAGAGATTCCAACCTTATTACATACTTGCTGGTCTTAGTGACTCTCTGAAACTTCTGAACAAGTCTTGCATCTTTCATGTTTTCCAAACAAATGTCATGTGAATGGTGCTGCTAAGTTCTACTGTCAGTGGATGGAGCGTGGCCTTTTAGACCACAGCTATTGTGGGCTCTGTTGCTTTGTTGGCTGAATCTACAGATACTTGCCTAAGCAGTTATTTTAGATCAGGGAACTACTGCAGCTGCATTGTCATATCCAGCAATCTCCTTTCACACAAATTTTCATTTTCATAAATTAGCTCCTTATATGGGTGTGGTCTTGCTCCCAAGGAGCCTTTCCTACTGCTTGAATGAAAAGAGTGGGGTTTCTTTTAAACATTTGTAGATTACTTGTTATATGTGCTTTCCTTGCTTGCAATTTTAAACTTGTATGTGCAAACTTTCCTTGCTATATTTCATATTCTTTTTAATATTTTTGCTCTCTCTCTCTCTCTCTCTCTCTCTCTCTCTCTCTCTCTCTGCCTGAACAAGAGCACTGAGAATTCATTATGTCATAGATTGAACATTAGGATGTCTTGAAATTTCTGCTACCAAATTTAATTAGTTGTTTACTTGTAAGTTCAACATCACTCAAGTTCTCAAGACACAAGCAGAATGAAGCCAGATTCTTTGCCAGAATGGCAAATTGGCCTCTTGGCCAGTTCCCAATAGAGTTGTCAATTGCTCCCCTCTGAAATTTCATAAACTGGTTTCCAGAATCTTCATTTGACATTCTGGTTTTATAACCCCCCCCCACACACACACAATGGTTCTTTAAGTTCTGTTTGCAGGGTTCTGGGTCTGTTAGTCCAAACTCTTCCATGTTCCTCTTTAAGTCAGTTCTAAAACCCAAAGAATCATATGTTCAAATTATAACAGCAAAGATCCTACTTCTTACTACCAATTTTCTGCATTATTTTCTTTTCTGATTGCTGAAACAAATTACCTTATGAAAGTAACATAGTTATAAAAGGTTTGTTTTGGCTTATAGGTCTCAGGGAAGTCCAAGAACCAGAGAATCTTGAATGCTCAATCTTATTCTCTTTTATTCGGCACAGAACCTAGGGCATAGAATGGCATAGGCCATACTCTTGGTGTCTTTCCATCTCAGTTAACCTAATGTAGACCGTTTCTCACAGACACACCCAGAGGCTAACCTTGTCTAGATAACCTCTCACAGGTACAAGCAGAGATTTATCTCCTAGGGGATTCCAGAGTCCATCAAGATGATGACATTAACCATTACAGCTTGCCTAATATTCCTAATACTTTCCTAATTGAATAATTGGGATTTTTCTATAAAAAATGATAATGTCATCTATTAATAGTGATGATGACTTCCTCTTATGACTCTAAATTTTACAATTTTCTTCCCCTTGCTTGCTTGCTGTAACTAGGTCTCCCAGCACTATCCTGACTCAAAGTGGTGAATATGGACATTTTGTCTTATTCCAGATCCTATAGAAAAATATTTCAGCTTTACCCATTTAGGATGATGTTGACTGTAGGTGTGTTGCATATTGCATATAGCTTTTATACCGACTTTGCTTGGAGAGTTTTACATGAAAGTATTTTGAATTTTATTAATTTTTCATCTATATACTTAGGTTTATTTTATTCAATTAATATAGTGTATTATGTTTATTGATTTTCCTGTGTTAAACTATCCTTCCATTATTAGAATAACTCTCAATAGATTATGGTAAATAGTCTTTTTAATGTGCTGTTGGATTTGGCTTGAAAGCATTTTTTGCTTAGGATTTTTGTGTCTCTTTTTTCAGGAATATTAGCCTGTAACTTTCTTTTTTGTTGTGCCTTTGTCTGACTCTGGAGCAAGCATCTTATAAAATGATTTTATTATTTTATTTTTATTTAAACTAAAAACAATCTTATTTTACATACCAATCTCAGTTGCCTCTCCCTCCCATGCCCCCTACCAACCCCCCTCCCCACCACCTATCCACTCCCTAGGGAGGGTGAGGCCTCCCATGGGGTAATCATTAAAGTCTGCCACATCATTTGGGGCAGGGCCTAGACCCTCCTCCATGTATCTAGACTGATAGAGTATCCCTCCACAGGGAAAGGGCTCCCAAAGTCTGTGCTCTAGGGATAAATACTGGTTCCATTTCCCGAGGTCCCATAGACTGCCCTGGCCTCCCAACTGACACCCACATCATAAAATGATTTTAAAAGAACTCCTTTGTTTTGAGTCACTCATATAATCTAAAAACTGGTATTAGTGAAATCCCCTGGATCTGTTCCTGCTTTTGGTAGGAGAGTTTATATTGCTGGCTCATTCTCATTATTTATCAGTCTTCTCTCTCTTTATGACACAATCCTTGCAAGGCACATGTATTCAGAACTGTATCTCTGTATGTGAACATTTCTTATGTATCTATTTTCCTTGCTGAGGCAGGGGGATCACAAGTTCAAGACCTGCCTGAATTACAGAGCAAGTTCAAGACATTTATTCTGTTCTTTGAATAAGTGGCTACTGCTGATATTTCAGCAGGAGCTACTATCTCAAGTCAAGGTTTGCCAAAAGTCATGAACTGAGTCTTTATCAGTGTTTTAGCAGTCAGGGGTACTCCAAGCCCAAACTTGTCACAAATCTGCAGTTAGTGTGATGCTCAGGATGGGTGATGAGGTTTCAAAAGACTCACACCATTTCCAGTGTGCTCCCTGCCTCCTGCTTATGAATCAAAGCATGGACTCTCAAATACTACTCCACCAAACTGTCACCATGCACTCACTCTGCCATCCTAATCTCTAACCCCATGGAGCCATAAGCCCAATTAAACTTTTCATGGTATCTCATCACAGAAATAGACAAGTGACCAACAAGATGTTTGAATGGGGAAATGATCAAATATAGACTTATTCTGCCATCTTGATGTAGCCCTTCTTTCCTTCCTTCCTTCCTTCCTTCCTTCCTTCCTTCCTTCCTTCTTTCCTTCCTTCCTTCCTTCCTTCCTTCCTTCCTTCCTCCCTTCCTTCCTTCCTTCCTTCTTCTTTCCTTCCTCTTTTCTTCTGAATCATGGTTATAAACACTAAAAGTTAAATATACTCTATTGATCAATGTGTAGTATTGTAATTGTTAACTGCATAGCTGTATTGTTTTGCATTGACTGTTTCTAGAATCTATTCAACTGAAACCTTATACCTATTAAGTAATTTTTCCCCTCTCCTAACAGCAAGATTCTATCCTGTTACCATGAGTTTGATTATTAATGTCTTTCATAAGATAGAGTGAAAGTCTTGAAGGTGTCTTTCTCATAGGATGAAGCATGTACATTTCTTTTTATCTCCCAGGGATTTGTTGCCCAGTACCAAATATGGAAAAAATCAAAATTGTAAGTGAAAGGAGAGATTTCACTGGTGTATGCATCTATGCCTATGGAGACTATGTTTTCTATATTTGTGGTGAAGGTACTTATCCTATGTCTACTGATGGAAGGAGTTCATGTCTAGCAGATGGAAAGTGGGACCCTGCAATACCAGCATGTCACTCGGGTAAGAAAATTGAAGGAACTTGTCATCTTCATTTCCCAGATATCCCAAGTGAGTCTATGCAGTTCTATGAAGAACACTCTTCTTAAAAATAAGTGAGTTTGGGATTGTTCTTTCAATAAGTATTACGCAGAAGAGCACAGATATTTACCTTAGCACCACCAAGGCTATTGATAAGAGTTATGGACCAAGATACACTGACAGAGGGCTTACAAAAGCTTTTGTCAGAGAACATAGTGCAATTGAATAAAATCCTTCAATATCTCAGTTTGTTAATGTTCCTGCATATAGTATCTGCTACCATTATGGCCAATGTCTGCATTTGTACATCAAGGGGAAAACAATGGCTTATATAATTACTAAACAATGGGAGACTTTGTTATGAAGAAGAATATTGACTGACATGAACTTTTTCATTTCCTTGTTCTGACTCAGAAATACAAAACCGTCTTGCTCTTATTACCCCACCAAGCTTTGCAGAAACAATGACGAAGAGCAATAAATATCTATCTGATACTGGTAAGACACTGAAAATGCCATGCAGAGCAATGTGACTATGTATGGTTCCTCACCTCAACACGACAGAGTCTATTGCATGCCATAGTTGGGTTAATATAAAAGTAAAGTTTAAAAGATAACCTGGGATTCTATGATTTTGTAGGAAATCATAGAAAATAGGGGTGGGATGTGAGAAAGAATCATAGGAAAAATAGTCTTTATCCATTGTCTTAAAGATAACTGTAAAGGAGAGTTAAGAGTAAATTATCTCTGCTCTGAGGGTTGTAATTGATATGACTAATCTTTCACTACTGCCCATTCTGTTTCCTTCAGTCAGCACTCTGGTATGCTTGGGCTTTTTGACAGATGCAATATCTCTAGCTGTTATTCCTGGTGAACAGAATTTCTTCATGTCTCATAATTGCCTAACCAGTATAAACCTCACAGATGGACCACAAAAGATGCTCCAGTGATTATCTTAAGCTCCAGATACACTATTTCCTGAACCAGTATATGCCACACATCCTGGCTCTTCATCATGAGCACATCTTATTGCCACACAGTATGGTAACGTTTCCCTTCACCCAAGCTGTCCCAGCAGGTGAAGAAACTCAGAGTAATTTGCTGAGAGCTACAGCTTAAATATCAGTGGACAGCTTCAATATCCACTGGCTGGGCTGCTTTGCCTCTGTCCTCAGAAATCAGGATACCTAATCTACTGATCTAAAGATACAAGTAGAAAAGTAAATTATGCAAATATTATTCAAGTGGTTTGGTAGGATTTATTTCGAATGGCACGAACCATACTGTTTTTTGCACCTATTAGTTACCTAGCTACATGGAGATACTGACCAACATATCCTGAGAGGTAGTATCTCTATTTTATTAAATGTGTGTATGTTGTATGTATATATGTATGTGTGTATGTTTCCTGTCTTCATTAATTTTTGAGGTTAGCATGTAAATCAATGAGTTTCATTATGGAACTTTTATGCATTGTGTCATTATACCTTGTTCTAATTTGTTCCCCTCTCCTACTGTTTTCTCCCTGCTGCCTACCTTTTGTTTGGGGAGTGGTTCTGTTTGTTCCCCTGAGAGTATTGTGCTTTGCTTTCATGTCACACATACTATTTTCTCTTTACCCCTACCTTCAGAATTCTTCCTACCCTCGCATGACTCCCTTTCTAGTTGCACACCTTACACACACACACACACACACACACACACCACACACTAAAAGAAAAAGATAAAAACCACCAGTGTAGAAACAAGAGAAAACAGGAGAAAAGCCTATATTGGCCTCTTTTACAGAGACACTAGTTACCACATGCCATGCTAAATGGTGTGTGTAGAGAAGAATTTTACCAGAGAAGTGTCCTGACAGACCCAAAGCATCTGGTGCAAGGAGAGCTGTAGAGCTGCATACAATCTGTGCTACTGGAAACCCAAACCAGAGGACAAGTAACACAACCACACAAGACAGCAGGCACACAATGTAAAGGGCATAGGAGAATCTGAAACTGGAAGATCGCCAATGTCCAAATTCCCCTGTCCCTGTCATTGTAAAGAAGAGTGGGTGGTTGGATTGTAGGACCATGGAAATAGTGAAAGGACTTGACAAAGGTTAAACACAGCCTGTTTGAATCTACCAAGTAGAGAACAGTTTGAATCCATCAAGCAGTGCCACAGCCACCCATAGACACAGCCTAGGGAGATCTGCAATGCTCACCATCATCCCTATCCCAATATTTCCCATGGAGCAGGGGATCCATCCTAGTGCATTGGCACTCAGAAGATGATGTACCTTCCTGGTACAACAGACCTCAAGCTGCATGGACTATGAAGATGCAACAAAAGGGAGAGGACCTGATATTCACAGACTTGCCACAGCAGGGAGGAACTGGCCAGTGGACAGGAAGGTTTTTTATGCAGTTTGTCCTGATGGACAAAACTAAGGTCAAAGCAGGCATTGAACTTTCCTCCAACCATCAAGAAGTGTTGACAGAGAACATAATACTTTCTAAAATTTAAACTTTATTAATTTATAATAAGAACTCCCCCCAATTACACAGCCATATTAACCAGACCCAGAAACTGCATCTCAACGAATTTCTATACAATCAGAATAGCTGTTTTGAAGATATAGAATCATACATGTGATTTATACTTTCAATTATCAAATATATTTTATGCGCTTACCCACCAACAGAAAATGGAATCAGTAGCTTTTCTGTATACCAGTAATGAACTTGCTGACAAATCATATAAAATACTCCATTTACAATAGCTAAAAATAATAAAATATCTAGGAATATGGGGCTGAAGAGATGGGCCAATGGTTAAGAGCCCTGTTGTTCTCTTCATTTCCCAGCAACCCCCATAACTCTAGTTTGGAGAGGGGATGCAAGATGTCCTCTTTTGACCTCTAGGTATCAGGCCAAGCATGTGGTTCACATACATACATGCAGGGAAAACACTCACACACATGAAACAAAATTAACTAATTTAAAATAACCAAGAAGATGAAAAACCTTAAAATATTGAAAAAAGAAATTGAAGATAGCAATAGATACAGGGGAAAAAAAAACCTTTGCTCTCCTGGACTGGCAGAATTAGCCTTATGAAAATAGCTATCCTCTCCAATGAAATTTCTAGATTCTATTCAATTTCTAGTTTTATCTCCATTAAAATTTCAATGGCATCCCTCACAGAACTGTAAAAAAATCTAAAATTCATATGGAAACACATATAGACAGCCAAAGTAGTCCTAAACAGACAGAAAACAACCAGAGGTATATTACCTGACCTCAAGCTATGCTACAGAGCCTTAGTGACATGGTACCAGTACAAAAACAGACATATAGACCAAGGGAACATAAGGGACCCAGAAATAAACTCATACAGATATGCATTCATATATGCATGATATATAAACTCATACAGAAATGCACACCTAGTTTTTGACAGAAAAGTTAAAATTATCAAGAAAAAAACTCGTTCAAGAAATGGTGCTAGCAGCCGGGCGTTGGTGGCTGAAGCTTTTACTCCCAGCACTTGGGAGGCAGAGGCAGGTGGATCTCTGTGAGTTTGAGGCCAACCTGGTCTACAGAGAGCGTTCCAGGACAACCTCCAAAGCAATACAGAGAAACCCTGTCTTGAAAAACAAAAAAAAAGAAAAAAAAAAGAAAGGAAGAAAGAAAAAAAGAAAGAAAGAAAGAAAGGAAGGAAGGAAGAAAGAAAAGAAGAAAGAAATGGAGCTAGCTGGCAAAACTGGACAAATACCTATGGAAAACTGAAATTAGGTTCATATTTCTCACCCTGTACAAAAGCTAATCCAATCTTGATCAAATATCTTAATTTGACACCAGAAATGTTTAGACAACTATAGAAAAACATGATGAAAACATTTTACAATAGAGGCATTGGAATTCTTCAGGAAATAGCCACAGTTGTTGACAAATAGGATTACATTTAATATAATTAAAAAATTAAAAAAAACAAAAAAAAAAAAAAAAAAAAAAAAAAAAAAAAAAAAAAAAAAAAAAAAAAGCTTCTGCTTAGCAAAGGAAACTATCAGCAGAGCAAACAGACAGCCAAAAAAAAAAAAAAAAATAGTAGAGAAGCCTTTTCAGCTACACTTCAGATAAGGGTTAATTTAAATCAAATTAAAAACCAAAAAAACAAACCCCCATTCAACAAGTGAGCCATGAACTGAATAGACAGCTCTCGAAAGAAGAAATACAAATGGTGGACATGTATTTCAAAAAGTGTTCAACATCCTTAACTATCAGGGAAATACAAATGAAGAGTATTGTGAGATTTGATCTCACCCATCAGAATGGCTGTCATCAAGAAAGTGTGAACACAAAAGCCAACTGGGCTGCAGAGGAGGAACCTTGTTCACTATTTGGAGGGGGTAAACTAGCGCTATCGCCATGGCGGTATGGAGCTACTTAAAAATTCAAAATATAACTAACAGAGGTGCTTCACATCCACCTTTGTTGATTCTCAAAGAAGCAGAGTCAGCCTAGATGACATTAACAGATGAGTGCCCAGTAAAAATGTGGTACATGTACACAAAGAATTTTATCTGCACAGAAAGAAAGATGACATTTGTAGGTACATGACTAGAACTAGTAACAATGCTATGAGGTAACAGCAGGCTCAGGGGAACAAATTCCATGTGTGCTCTCTCACCTGCACTCTCTCACATGTCCTCACTCTCTCACATGTGCTCACTCTCTCACATGTCCTCACTCTCTCACATGTGCTCACTCTCTGACATGTCCTCACTCTCTCACATGTGCTCACTCTCTCACATGCACTCTCTCACATGCACTCTCACGCACACTCTCTCACACTCACTCTCTCACACTCACTCTCTCACACTCACTCTCTCACATGCACTCTCTCACATGCACTCTCACACTCACTCTCTCACCCTCACTCTCTCACACTCACTCTCTCACATGCACTCTCTCACATGCGCTCTCTCACATGCACTCTCACACTCACTCTCTCACACTCACTCTCTCACACTCACTCTCTCACATGTGCTCTCTCACATGCGCTCTCTCACATGCACTCTCTCACATGCACTCTCTCTCATATGCACTCTCTCATACACGCGCTCTCACATGTGCTCTCTCATATGTGTTCTCTCACATGTGGCTTTAACTTGCACTTTTGTGTATTTATGTGGGAGGGAGTCTGAGTAGAGGCCAGGAGTCTGGTAAGGTGCCCAGGAGAGGGGAGGAGATAGGGAAGGTCATAGACAGCGTGTGACATGAAAATGGAAGGGGAGTGGGAGGAGTGAGATGGAGGGGAGTGGACAGAGGAGGATCAACCAATACTATATGAAAATGCCATAAGAAACCTTTTCCTTTTTTATGGCCATTGGAGAAAAAAAAAAAGATTCAATGCATTTCCCCTACTGAAGTTTAGTTTTCCTTTGGCCCCATTGTGGTGATATCTTTCTTGCACAAATAAAGCCTCTCTGGGGGTCAGAGAATGGAAACTACCTCTTGCTAACCATAGAGGTCTGGAGGTTGGTACAGACAGGCAGGAAATGATGTAGCTGGGCAGTAACGGTATATAAGTAGGGACAAACAGGGAATCTCTCTCTTCTCTGTGGCAACACTTAGGAGGTAAGGTGTGCTGTGGCTTGCTCCTTCTCTCTGATCTCTCAGCATTTCCCTCCACATCTGACTTCAGCCTTTTATTATCTAGACCACTTAAGAAAACCATTTACATACTGGTGCCCAACGTGTAGCTCGAATCCACAACCCTGAGATTAAGAGTCTCATGCTCTACCGACTGAGCTACCTAGGCTTTTTCGAGACACCCCATCTCTTCTTTTTCATACCTGTTTCTCTCTTTTAGTTGAGACTGTCTTTACTCTGCTGGTCCTACTCACCATGTTTGAAGTAGGGAAATTGATTTCACAACCTCGCTCCCAGATGGAGGGATTTGCCTCAGGATTTGTGATGTCTTGAGTCAGAGGAGACTCTGGACTTTGTATTTTAAAGTTGGGACAAGTAAGACTGTGTAGTTTTTAGTATGGAATGAATTAATTTTTCAGGGTGAGAGACATGAACTTAACATCCAGAGGGGGAAGGGTATTATTCAAATACCTGTAGTAAAGTCCTTATCCTTGAAACTTAAGCCCTGATAAACAGCAGCACTACAAAATAAGAGGTGACTGAGCCCTTATGAATAGATCATGTACTAGTCCTGGGGATGGATGCCAGCATGGGGTGTCCTATACTTGAGCTGTTTGTTCTGGTCCCTCTGGGTGCTTTATTATTTCACACTCATCACGGAAGCATGAAGGAACCAAATTCCTTTAGATTTGCATGAATCAGAATCTAAATAAACCCACTTCTCTGTCACCCAGTTTATATCGTTCTATTATAGGAACAGGAAATACACAGACACCTCCTTACTTTGAAGCATGTGTGTCTTAATGTGCTGGAGGGTATATTTTGGTTGGACTTGCTGTGTGTCTTGCATGTCTTTTCATTTGGGTACCTTTGCCTCCTCAGTGTAATACCAGCTCCACTACCAACAAATGGAAGACAGAGTTACAAAATAATAACAACAATATTTCCTGTTGATCAAAGCCTACCTAAATTTTACCTTATTTATTTATTTGGTAACATTTAAGATATGAATCGTAAACTTTAAAAGTTGGCAAAAAGAACAATTAAAAATGAACACTAGTTTCCCTTCCTGGGCCCCAAGAGCACAGATAGCACCATTGGCAGAAGCAGTCATTACTATTCAGTTGTTCTATGTCTTTCTAGAATACTTAAAGGATGTACTTGTAACTTTGAAGTAAGAATCGCTTTGTGCCTCTAGTAAACTTTCCACGACAACCTTCATTTCTTTCTAAGTATCCAAGAAAGAGGAATCTCAAAGGTTAATACCTAGTTTATAAAGTGTTACAAATTTTCACTGAAATCTTATGATGGCCACTATCTTTCCATGGCCTTTCTCTGTCTATGAACCAATGAGGCTCCTGTTCGATAAGCTGATATAGAATAAAAATGAGGTAAGATTGTGACTGACTCTTCAGCGTCCTTAGTTCCTTCATTATTTTGCTACCAGCCAAATGCCACTGTTTCTGTTGAGCCCTGTAGCATTAAAAGGTGAGGACAGTGAAAAGTGCATTCTGAGTATCATGCATAGGATGGAAGCTGTAGGGAAGAAATACAAACACAGGTTCTAACACTTCAAAGTTATATGAGACTTAGAGTATTAAGTGTCTCCATTTCATTGTTGGTAAAATGGTAATAACAATAGAAACCAATCCATAGATGTATAATGATAAAATTTCTAAGGCCACAGAATTTAGCAAATAAATATACAAAGTACTTTTCTCAATAGATATCAGGACTCTTATAATTATTATTGATATCAGTAAGTTTTGAAGAACCTGATTGCAAGTATGTACAAAGTTTCTCATCATTTTCATTGTCTAATTCAATTTTGACACCTCTTTGAAGAAGAGAGAACGAGGTTCACATCCTATAAAAGTTTGTGCTCCAAACCAGTGATCATACATGGAAAACTGTCTGTGGATAAAGATCACTATGCTGAAATGGAAAATATCACCGTTCAATGTGATCCTGGATATGGCTTAGTTGGTTCCCCAAACATCATTTGTTCAGAAAAAAAAACATGGTACCCTGAGATACCCAACTGTAAGATGGTGAGTGGCACAATTGGGGAACTTCTGTGATTTCACCCTTAAATATAGCAGTCTCTTCCCAAGGCTCTGTCTCAGACTATGGTGGTATCACCTGCCACCTGCCAGGATGCCTGGTTTACCAGATTAGCATTTATAACCTTGAAGCATTGTGCTTGAAGGAGTAGATTTTTCTGCTCTCTGGCTGGATCCAGAAGTTTAGAACTGTGGGTTTCCTAGACCTAGTGACCTGACCATAGCTTTCCATGTTTGTGGTCTGTATACTTTTGGGCATGTGCAGGACTCCACCTCACCTATCCTTATGGGGCTGTTCTGGGTCCTTCTAGCTCTATGCCTTTTCTTCAACTATACTTTTCTGCTCCTCAACAACCAAATGTTGTGACATATACCTATAACCCTAGCAACACCGGAGGTGGGCATAGGAGGGTCCTAAGCTCAAGTCTGTCTTGGGCTGCAAACTACACACACACACAAAAACACACACAAACACACACACACACACACACACACACACACACACACACCTCTTCCTCTTGCTCATGTTGTGGCCTGTATATGAGTACCTGCTGAGGATGCAAAGTCTCTCCAGAATTCTCTTAATGCCCATCAATCATATCATCCTCACTTTTGTCAAGACTCCCTCTCAGACTGTACCCTCCCCCCCTCCATTTACTTTTTAAAATTACTTCTTTAGGAACTCCCTGAAGATTGCAAATTTGTGGTTGAAGGCAGAAAACTCTTGCAGTGCCTCTCAATCCCAGAGGAGGTGAAAAAGGCCATGGAGATATACAAACTGTCTCTAGAGATCGAACGATTAGAACAGGAGAAAGAGAGGTGGCTACGATTCCACAGGAAACCTTCTAAACGTGTTAAAATGAAGGGGCCTTTTAGGCCTTTTGGTTAATGTGCAGAATCTCCATGCAGCAGCTGTACTGACCCCTAAGCACTACCAGTCCTGTTAAAAAAGTTTCTGGGCCAGAAGAACTTAGGTGTTTTTTTTGTTTTTGAAGCTATGTCAATGATTATTGGCTAGCCATTATGGTTCAATTGTCTACTTGACTCAACTCACTATAATAGTTAAATATAAACTATTAAAACCGAATTTTTGTGTTGTCATTATGTTCATTATGTTGCATGAATACAACATACGTACCCAGAACACAAATTTACTGTCTAACGTGTCTGTAGGTAATTTTATTTCTCCTTTAAAGAGTGCATCTCCGACTATTCCAACCACATTCCTGCTGAATTGTCACTGAACGCCATGACACTGTGTCTCATGAGTCCAGCACCTGCCAGTTCTGAACTTGCAGGGCAAGATCTGAATTTAAAGGGACATTCTGGAAAACAGAACCTTACTACACTGCAGAGATTCTTTGGTGCCCCTTCTGGTCACATTCCACACTAAAAAGGACTTCTTGTCTCCCTTGAAAGCAAATTGGTTTTGTGTTTTCCTCCACATTGTAGAAATGAAATGAGATATATGTTCTGGTTTGTTTGTTTGTTTTTGTCGAATTGACACAAGTTAGAGTTATCTTAGAAGAGGGAACCATAGTTGAGAAACTGCTTCCATAAGACTGGCCTGTAGACAAGTCTGTGGGCATTTTCTTGATTGATAATGGTGGCAGGGCTCAGTACATTGTTGCTGGTGCCTCCCTGGACTGGTGGTTCTGGGGTATATAAGAAAGGAAACCGGGAAAGCCAGGAGAGCAAACAAGTAAGCAACATTCCTTCTCTGTATCATATCCAGCCTCGAGGTTCCTGCCTTGAGCACCTGCCCTGACTTCCAGGGATGATAGACTTTAAGCTAGAAGATGAAATACAACCTTCCCTTCCCAAGTGGCATTTGGTCATGGTGTTCTATTACAGCGATAGTAACTAAGACAGAAATGTGTGATTTTATTCTCACATTTATGTCTGTGATGCTAAAGTCATCTCAATACAAACAAATCGACTGCATATATTTACGTTTGTTATTTGGCTTTTGGCTAGTGATGCTTGGTATGTTTGCCTGACCACAGCAATACCAAGGTGTATTATCAGTAGATAATACAGTAGATAAATTAGCTTTATGATGTCATGATGGAATGCTAGTCAGGACCAGTAAAGCTCCACAAAAATCAATCTACTGATGCTCTGTTTTTCTGACGTCAACTGAGTTCCCATGGTTGTTTCCTTGGAGACTGAAACAATCTATCTCCAGGGAAGCTCCTTAAGACAGACAGAAAACAACTCACATAGCTCCTGGAAGTCCCTGAAACTGACCAGATTCACTAGGCCCCTCCCTCCCAGAGTAAGCAATAAAGACCACTGAGGGTCACGTTTAGACAAGCCATGCTGCAAAGAAGATTCGGAGACTAGACCAGTCACCCAGAAGAAGCAGAAACTATCTAAGCTCCCTGGAAGGGGTTTACACCACAGAATCCCTTGGAAAGGACACTTTCCAACCTGTTTAGTTGAGCCACCTGTAGACTGCGCAGTGAGCTCCAGGTTCCCACCTCTGTGAGCTGTCACCTGTGCTGGGGAGGGCTTTGGTAATGCAGTTACTTTTGAGTCATTCCTGTAACTAACCCTTCACCCACATTCCTTTAAGAAGACCCAATAAAACTCATTGCTTCACCAAGTTGGACTTTGGCGGTATCCGTACTTTTGTCTGTCGTGGGTTTCCTATCTGGGGTGAGTAGACATGTGTGTTGTGTCTCCTAAGGAAAAGTCTTGTCACACAACAATAGTGTATCCCATTATGACAGAGAATCAACTGATCAGTAACTCCACAGATGATATGTGTAGAAGAAGCCTGGCCAGGAGAATAGAATCCAAATGCAGATGGGAATCCATTGCTGAAAAGGCCAATCACTACATCCTCCGCGATGGGAAGTCGAGTGATTGACTGGCCTCCCGGGACACTGTCCTGTAACTGGTGCTGCCAGATAAGAATGTCAGTTCTCATTTCTTATGGATAAATACAATGTTTCCCTCTGAGGTTCTCTAAGGGGTGTAGCTCAGTCTACAGGTAATTGATCACCAATGTAAACTCTATTTACCTCCTCCTCTTCCATTTTCATTCCTTTTGTCCATAACTCAATTTCAAGGACTTCTTGGTAAACGAAGGCTGACCCTTCCATTTACATGTAGATACTTTTAAGAAAGCATTTTGTTTTTGTTTTTATTACAAGATTTTATGTATTTATTATGTATATACAGCACTCTGCTTCCATGTATACCTGCACATCAGAAGAAGGCACCAGAACTCCTAACGGATGGTTGTGAGCCACCATGTGGTTGCTGGGAATTGAACTCTGGACCTCTAGAAGAGCAGCCAGTGTTCTTAACCTCGGAGCCATCTCTCCAACCCTGTTTTTTGTTTTTAACATTGAATGCACACACACACACACACACACACACACACACACACACACACACACACACACACACTTTTATTTATGTATTGTGTACATGTGTAGATGAGTAGGTGAGCAAGTATACACCCGGGCGCACACGTGAGCTTGGGAGGACAACTTGGAGGGGTTGCTTCTCTCCTTGTACTCTGTGGGTCCTGCAGACCCAGCTCAGGTGCTTGAGCTTGACAGCAGACACCTTTGCCAGATAAACCATCTCACAGAACCTTCGCAGATACACCTTTCTCATTCAACAGATATTGATATGATCATTTGGGGTGGGGTGCATAGGAGAGGGATGCCATCCATGGATATCTCAACCATTTCATGTGCTTTAAGGAAACGTACCCATTATTACTTACAATTTTCCCCTTAGCATAAAACTTAGAGTTTCTGAACTGAAAAACATCACAGAGATTATTTTAGTTTCAAACTCCTCTCAACACACACGTGGATAAAGGCCTGAGTGACTTGGACTCCTGGCTGAGCCATATAATTCCCAATAGATTTTATGGGGATTTGTTCTCCTGATAAATCCACAGTCTATGCTCATTCCTACCACAGTAGAAGTGTGAGGTTTCTAGGAACACTGATCTAAGTGACTGTCTCAGGGATCCATCCAGGAAACATTTGTAAATTAGTTAAACATGGTATGAATAGCTTGTCTTGATGCAGATGAGTTTAGGATCAGACTTGGAAAGCAATAAGAAAGCTAAGCTGGGCACTCTGTCCTTCTCTCCTGTCTGCAAAACATGCTAATAATACTAATGTTGTAACTTCCCAGGAAACCAAATGCAATAATTTGTGGAAAGCTTTGGAACCTGATTATTAAGCAGAATCAGCAACTTGTTAAAATTATCCTGGTTCTTCCTTGGAAGACAAAGTAACTACTTGGTGGCTTTATTTGATCACCTTTCCCTTGAGGAAGGCTAACATTTAATCACTGATATTTCAGGGAGAAAGGCCCACTCATTGACTTCCAGGCAATGTTCCTCTTTGTTTCTGGGAGCTACGCACGTGGTTGTTAGGACTGTATTGTACTTGTGACAGCTCAGATTGACAGTAAAGACTATTTTTAGATTGCCTGCCCCCTTGTTCACCATTGTCACTAGAATGTCAGGTAACACATACTGCTGGTCCAATTGGCAAATCATAAGTAGTACAGGTTTATAATGCCCTGCCCCCTTCAAGTAGGCTCAAATTTATAGTCTGGGCATAAGATACCTGGCAGGTATTAGTGGACCAGCTTTAGCTCAGATAGTGACTACTGAATTAGATTTGGGGGCTAACAAATAAGCCCTCTAAAGCTTTTCTCTGAGTGTGTTTGTGAGCAGTTTAACATTGGGCTAAAAAAGGTCTTTATAGGGATCTAGCCACCACCAAACTTTGCTGTAAGGTGGCATGCTTTTGTCTGTGGCAATGATGTGCTGTTCGTTAACATTTAATGTCCACTCGGAGTTGACCTGTGTTTTAAACAGAACCACAACATATCCCTTTAGTTTTCTACTGATCACATCCTCAATGTCAATTACTTTGACGTCATATATGCATCAAGAATACACACCATTCCTGAAGATCTGCGTGGTCTGGATATTGGTGTAGATGATGCCAGACAGGCATAGTGGTGAAAGAGCCAGTAAGTGTCCCTGTTGTGAGAAGGAAGAAACAGTGAGAAAGTCTTGGAGTTGGGTCTGTGAGATGACTCAATGGGTAAAGGTTTCTGCAGCCAAGCCTGGGGACCTGAGTTTGGATCTCAGAACACACATGGTGGAAGAAGAGAACCCACTCCTGTCTCCACACCCAGGCTCTTAGGCAAGCTCGTGTCCTCTGCCAGATTTGGAGGACCATTGGATGACCCAGTCCAGTTCTTGGCTCCATATTGGTAATTTCCCACTATACGTTCTCTTCTGTACCTTGCCTCTTCAACTCTGCCATTCCCCTTCAGTGACTTAAAATGCTGGTACCACTAGGTTTTATCCATCTGGCTCAGCATCAACTCATTAATGGTTTCAAGTTTCACCTTTACCTGATCCAGGGTATCTGAGGATGCTGTGTCTGACGACTTTCTCTCTGAGACTCAGCAGCATACCCTGAAAATTACAGGTAGTTTTCTCAGCACCATAGTTCCTCAGAGCCTTGTCTCTGCTCTGGTGTCCTCCTGTCCTTTATGGTTAAGTATGAAGTTATGGGAAGTAGTAAATAGTTTAATTAAGGAATGAAGAACTAGTTAACAAGTAGTTAATCAGTGGCTATAATTCAGCTCTGTGTTAAGTATAATGAAATAAGTTTTTAAGGACTATATTTAACTTTATGATTATAGAATCATTTGGAAGCTAAATATTATAAAATTAAAGTACTTATCTGGCAGAAACAATTTTATGTTAATGTATGATATTTAAGTGACTACTCCTAAATGATTAAAAGCTAATTCTTCTATAGGGCTTATTTTTTCTAGTGTAGTAGTCATTAAATAGATCATTTTTCTATTAACATGGTAGAGCATCAC